ATGACTGATGAACAAAGAAAATGTTATTTTAGAGCCAGGAATGTCTGCATTGTTCATTCAGGACCCTATTTTGAAATTGTCATATTTTTTAATTTTTGTGAAATTGGCCAAATTGCAAATTTCTGACCACGTTATTGGGTAGTTGAAATCGGTAAATGGGCAGTTTCTTGTACTAAATCGATAGAAAAAATGGAATTCTAAAGAAATAGCCATGAGTTTGTTCAACTGGAACAATGGAATTAGCCAAAAAATAGAGCTCAAAGTGGGCAAAATCGCCGATTTGTAAATATCGCCGAGGTCGCTAACTTTGCGAGAGTGTAATTCCGTAAGTTTTCCATCAAATTTCGTTTTTTTTGGTGTCATTACAATTGGAAAAAAATTCTCTATCATTTCATAAGAAATTTTTTTTTTTTTTTTTTTTAAATTTTGCGACACAAGGAGACACCTCAGGATTGGGGGTTGTGACAGTCAAGGAGTTAATGTCTGGGAGGATTACAGATATTGAGAGTAAGCATATATTGATTATAATGTTTTACCTATGTTCGTGACATTGAGAAAATGCATTTATAGTTTTTACATATTTAGGTGGGGCTGAGATAGGTTAGACAGATAAAATGTTTTCTAATGGTTATTTTGAAAATGCTGACTGAGTCAGTGGTTCTGGAGATTTCTGGCTGAGTGTTCGAGATTTTGGGCCCTTTTTTGTACAATGAATTTTTGAAGAGGTTTAGCTGGACACGGGGCATGTCATAAGAGATTTTTGTGCTCTTATATGGGTGTGAAGCATGGGTGGTGAATGTTGCAACAAGGAGAAGGCTGGAGGCAGTGAAGATGTTATGTTTGAAGGCAATGTGTGGTGTGAATATAATGCAGAGAATCCGTAGTTTGGAAATTAGGAGGAGGTGCGGGATTACCAAGACTATTATCCATAGGCTGAGGAAGGGTTGTTGAGGTGGTTTGGACATTTAGAGAGGATGAAATGAAATAGAATGACTTGGAGAGTATGTAAATCTGTAGTGGAAGGAAGGCAAAGTAGGGACTGGTCTAGGAATGGTTGGAAGAAGGGGGTAAAGGAGGTTCTGTGTGCGAAGGGCTTGGACATCCAGAAAGAGGGCATGAGCATATCATATGGTTTTTAGGACCTGGCATCCTGTTGGAGTGTGAGCAAGGTAACATTTATGAAGGGATTCAGGTAAACCAGCAAGCTGGACTTGAGTCCTGGAGGTGGGAAGTATAGTGTTTGCACTCTAAAGGAGGGGTGTTGATAAGTTGCAGTTTTATAACTGTAGTGTAGGCATACCTCTGGCAAGACAGTGATTGAGTGAATGATGATGAAAGTGTTTCGTCTTTTCCAGGTCACCCTGCCTTGGTGGGAAACGGCTGATGTGTTAATAAAATATATAAAATATTATGTATATGGGGCCCTGCTGCAACTATCAAGAAAGTGCTTCAGGTTGGGGTTTATATTATAATTTCTTGTTCTGTAAATGTAGGTTGCACAGTAGTACGAGTGAATGTTTTGTATAGTGAGTAGGTTTAGGTCTTTGAAGAGTGAGGGGTGTGTTGCCTAGTAGTGGATTGTATGATCAGTCTCACTGCAGCTTTTCGATGGGTTAGTATTGGCTTTGGGTGATTTGCTGTTGTGGATTCCCCAGGCACAAATAGTATAGGTGAGGTAGGGGTAGATCAGTGATCAGTAATAGTCTGTACCGTATCTTTGAGAGGATGCCAAGTGTTTTGGATACATTTTTTGTTGTGTTGGATATGGGTGTTATTAGAAAATGGAAGCCTACAAAATTTTGTAAGGTTAAAAAGGGATTCACATACAAGCAAAGCTTGCAAACCACTACTTGATGCAATAATGCATGCAACAGTTATTTAAACAGGGAACAACACAAATGTACTAAATCATGGAATGGGTGGGCCTTACACCCATGGCAAAGTAGTCAAAAACTTACAGGCCAGTGTGTTAACCACTGGCCAAGTGGTTACCGTACTGGCCAGTGAGTGTTAAAACACAATACCCATTTCATGATTTAACTAGAAAGTATGCTCACCTAAGTTATCCTAGACACAACTTAGGCTGATGGCAAGCACAGGAAAGTTATCCTAAGTAACACTAGACACAACTTTAACTGGTAGCTAGCACAGGAATGAAAAACTATCATCACTATAGTCATCTTTTAGGACAGCAAAGATGACCAAGTGTAGAAGAACAAGACTAATTATTTTGTTGATCATGAGACTTGTATATTTAATTCAAAACAGCTTTATATTCAATCTTATTTACTCAAAGCCTGCACAAGGAATCATTAACTCCAAAACTATAGGTGGATCTAATGAGAATGATATAAAAAAATTCTTACTTTTCTCCATTAATTTCACTCTAGATGACAGAGGCTGAGGGTAAAATAAAAAGAAGTTGAAAATAATTGATAAATATAATTAGGAAAAAAAGTTTTTCTTTTTCGGGCCACCCTGCCTTGGTGGGAATCGGCCGGTGTGATAATAAAAAATAATAATAAAAAAAAAAATTAGGAAAAGAATAAAGATCTTATTTCTTTGTAAAGGTTACAATGTGTAATTACAATTTTGGTTTGTTAAGTACAAAGAAAGCCACTATCATGCTAGGTCATTTCGGGTAGTAATTACGAATACATTAAAAGTATCATGGATTCCTTTTTTTTGTGACTTCTTAGTTTAATGAGAATAAGCCACAATAGTTAAACTGTACTAAGAAATAAAAGGGCAATTAAAAGAAGACAGTATACCAATCAAAACTCAGGCTATAAAAAAAATTTGATATGATACTCTTTGTCATTATCAGGAATTGCTAGCCAGGTGTAAGTATGAATTATTACCAGCCTAATAAATGAAATATTAAGCAAAAAGGTGAATAATAATATTAGCAGAATTTTTTTTCAACAAACTGGCCATATCCCACCGAGGTAGGGTGACCTAAAAAGAAAAAACAAGTGTTTTTCTTTTTAAATTTAATAATTTATACAGGAGAAGGGGTTACTAGCCCCTTGCTCCAGGCATTTTAGTCACCTCTTACGACATTCATGGCTTATGAAGGAAGAATTCTGTTCCACTTCTCCATGGACATACTAACAGAAATCTTTCTTATTTCAACAAACCGACCGTATCCCACAGAGGCAGGGTGGCCCAAAAAGAAAAAAAGAAGCTTTTCTTTTTAAATTTAGTAATTTATACAGGAGAAGGGGTTACTAGCCCCTTGCTCATGGAATTTTAGTCGCTTCTTACGACACGTGTGGCTTATGGAGGAAGAATTCTGATCCACTTCCCCATGGAGAACTAACAGAAATATGGGAAGAAAAATGTTTAGAAATGCTATGTCTCCTTTAAAATAAATATCATGAGTACATATATGAATACAGTCCTGTACCTTTCAACTTTCTCATGCTTATCAGATAATTTATACTCAAGGAACAAAAAATGCACAATACTCACACGCATGGGAGAAAGGCACAGTACCCACACATACAGGAGAAAGGCACAATACCCACATCCACATAGGTGAAAGGCACAATACCCACACACATAAGACAAAGGCACAATACCCACACACAGAGGAGAAAGATACGATACCCACACATAAATAGGAGAAAGGCACAATACCCACACATAGAGGAGAAAGGCACAATACCCACACACAGAGGAGAAAGGTACAATACCCACACACAGAGGAGAAAGGTACAATACCCACACACACATAGGAGAAAGGCACAATACCAAAACACACATATGAGAAAGGCACAATACCCACACACACATAGGAGAAAACCACAATACCCACACACATAGGAGAAAGGTACAATACCCACACATATAGGAGAAAGGCACAATATCCATACACATAGGAGAAAGGCACAATACCCACATGCACATAGGAGAAAGGCACAATACCCACACACAGAGGAGAAAAGTACAATACCCATACACAGAGGAGAAAGGTACAATACCTACACACACATACGAGAAAGGCACAATACCCACATACACACAGGAGAAAGGTACAATACCCACATACACATAGGAGAAAGGTACAATACCCACACACACATACCTGGAGTTTACCTGGAGAGAGTTCCGGGGGTCAACGCCCCCGCGGCCCGGTCTGTGACCAGGCCTCCTGGTGGATCAGAGCCTGATCAACCAGGCTGTTGCTGCTGGCTGCACGCAAACCAATGTACGAGCCACAGCCCGGCTGGTCAGGACAATACCCACACACACATAGGAGAAAGGCACAATGCCTACACACACACGAGAAAGGTACAATACCCACACACATAGGAGAAAGGTACAATACCCACACACACATAAGAGAAAGGCACAATACCCACACACACATAAGAGAAAGGCACAATACCCACACACATAGGAGAAAGGCACAATACCCACACACAGAGGAGAAAGGTACAATACCCACATGCACATAGGAGAAAGGAACAATACCCACACACATAAGAGAAAAGCACAATACCCACACACATAGGAGAAAGGCACAATACCCACACACACATAGGAGAAAGGCACAATACCCAAACACATATAGGAGAAAGGCACAATACCCATACACACATAGGAGAAAGGCACAATACCCACACACACAATACCCAAACACACATAGGAGAAAGGCACAATACCCACACACACATAGGAGAAAGGCACAATACCCACACACACAATACCAAAACACACATAGGAGAAAGGCACAATACCCACACACACATAGAAGAAAGGCACAATACCCACACACACAATACCAAAACATACATAGGAGAAAGGCACAATACCCACACACACACAGAAGAAAGGCACAATACCCACACACATAAAAGAAACTTATTAAGTTTCTGTCCGACTTACACTATTAACTAGTCACACAGAACTATTTAATGGTCCAAGTCAGACAAAACGTTGTCATAAGTGTCTTTCTGCTATGTGCGAGTTATCTGTGTACAATTTACACTTACTTGAGCTTCAGCAAAAATACGCATTACATCTATATCAAGCATCTCTTTCGCAAAATCAAATGCTGTGTAGCCTTTCTGTGATACTTTACTGATATCAGCTCCACATTGGATCAAAAACTTGGCCATTTCAGTCTGCCTGTTTTAAAGCATAAAAGGCATACTAAGTTAAATCAAATAAACAAAAATACTATAAAAAATTAAATATAATAAAAATTCACATTGGCCATGCAAAGAAGATACACTGGTTAGTTTTACATTCCAATTTGCAGTTTTGAACTGTAGTATCAGCATGCCTCTGGCATGACCGTGATGGAGTGAGTGATGGTGAAAGAGTTTCTTTCTTTTTTTGAGGGGGAGGGGGGTCATGCCTCAGTGGGAGACAGTACGTATTAAAAATATATATATATATTATGTGATACCACCGAACGCTCAGAAGAAAGACACTATTTTGTGCATGGGGGTCAACAACATTAAATCACCTAAGGCCAATAATAACCCAGCAAAAGGCTGCAATCAGAATGGTAACAAATTCCCACTCGTGACAGCATACTCAACTTCTATTCAAAAGTCTAAATTTGCTCACCATAAAGAACATCCACACTTATTCATGTGCCTACTACATACATAGAACAATACACGCAAACATAAACCCTCCACTCAAACTTCCCCTCATCAACCTTAACAGGACACACAACCATAACACAAGACACACAGCTCTTTTTGATGTACCCCGTGTCCATATCACACTGTGTAAAAACTATGCACATAAAGGGCCCCAAAATTTGGAATTCATTACCAGAACATACTAAAGTAACCAGGCCAGAAAATCAATTTAAGACTCTTAACCCGTAAACGATCCAAGCAGATCTACGTTCACATGTGTAGTGCTCCAAAAGTAGATCTATGTTTTTTTTATATACTATTTTCAAATACATATATATATAAAAAAAAATGTAGATCAAAGTTTTTTTTACACGTTTTCAAATGTAAAAAAAAAAAAGATGATCTACTTTTTTTACATACTATCAAATGTTGAAAAAACGTATATATACGTTTGGATCGTTTACGGGTTAAAAAACTACTTACTTGCCCAGGACTAAATAATCAACACTCAATATTTAACATTACCAATAATTCTCCCAATTACTTAAATCTTAAAACTTCAAGACAACTTAAAGCAAATTGATCATCTTTTGTTATACATTGTAATGTGACAAATTTGTACATCTATAATGCTTCAGTATCGATATGTTCAAATTTCATTGTTTCAAATATTCATTTGTATTTCATATTGTAAACTGTTTACTGTAATTTTTAACACTGAACTTTTCATTGCTTGTTAATTTTAAGTTAATTTTAAGCCTGCCCATAATGCTCTGTATACAAGGGGCTTTTGGATTGTTCACTCAACTACTATAATTCCTTGTACAACTTGTATCATGTCCAAATAAACTATATGAATATGAATATGATTTTTTTTTTAACATGCTGGTTGTCTCCCACCAAGGCAGAGTGACCCTAAAACGAAAGACTTTCACCATCGTTCACAATATCACTGTCTTGCCAGAGGTGTGTAAATATGACAGTTTAGATGCCTCTCCAAACAGCAAATATCCCCACCCCTCCTTTACAGTGCAGACACCATACTTCCCACCTCCAGGACTCAAGTCCACCTAACTGGTAATTAAATAAGCTTCTTTTTTTTTTTTAATGAACCGGCTGTATGCCACCAAAGCAGGGTGACCTTAACCCTTTATGGGTTTCGGACATACTAGTATGGCTTACGCACCAGGGTTTTTGACGTACTAGTATGCATAAATTCTAGCGCCCTCAAATCTAGCAAGAGAAAGCTGGTAGGCCTACATATGAAAGAATGGGTCTATGTGGTCAGTGTGCGCAGTATAAAAAAAATCCTGCAGCACACAGTGCGTAATGAGAAAAAAAAAAACTTTGACCGTGTTTTTGGATTAAAACAGCGAATTTGCACTGAATTTTCGTATGGTATTTATTGCTGTATTCTAGTTTTCTTGGTCTTATTTTATAGAATGGAAGACATATTACAGAAATTGAGATGATTTTGACTGGTTTTACAATGAAAAGCACCTTGAAATTGATATCAAAGTAGCAGAAATGTTCGATTTTTACCAAATTTCAAAAGTAAATAAATCATGCTAAGCGTTCAATACAATTCAACTGGTGAATCTAATATTCTTTCACAAGTGCACCGATATTATTTATACCATTTCTACACTAATGCAGTAGTCTGCATAACAGTAAATCTTATTTTTTTTGTGAGAATAAAAAATCAAAGTGGACAGCAAACGAAATGTAAGAGGAGCCTGGGGACGTGACTAATGAATAGAGGAAATGTTATTTTAGTGCCAGGAATGTCTTTCTTGTTTATTCTGGACCCTATTTGGAAATTGGCATCTTTTGAAATTTGTGTGAAATTGGCAAAATTGCTAAATTCTGACCACTTTATTGGATAGTTGAAATCGGTAAATGGGTGGTTTCTTGTACTCATTCGATAGAAAAAAAACGGAGTTCTAGCAATATAGTTACGATTTTTGTCGACTAGTACACTGGAATTAGTCGAAAATAGGGCTCAAAGTGGGCAAAATCGCCGATATGTAAACATCATCGAGACAGCTAAATTCGCGAGAGCATAATTCCGTAAGTTTTCCATCAAATTTCATACTTTTGGTGTCATTATGATCGGGAAAAGATTCTCTATCTTTTCATAAGAAAAAACAATTATTTTTTTTAAATTTTGGCAACCCTGAGAACAAGTCTCTGAGAGGGCCTGGCAACCCCCAAAGGGTTAAAAGAAAAACAAGTTTTTCTTTAAAAACACAAAAACAAAAGTTTTTTCTTTTTAACCCTTTCACTGTCGCAACCCCAAATCCTGAGGTGTCGACTGGTGTCGAAAAATTAAAAAAAAAAAAAAAAAAAAAAAAATCTTATGAAATTATAGAGAATCTTTTCCCAATGGTAATGACACCAAAAGAACGAAATTTGATGGAAAACTTACGGAATTATGCTCTCGCGAAGTTAGCAACCTCGGCGATATTTACGAATCTGCGATTTCGCCCACTTATTTTTAGCTTATTCCATTGTTCCAGTCGACCAAACTCATAGCTATTTCTTTAGAACTCCATTTTTTCTATCGATTGAGTACAAGAAACTGCCCATTTACCGATTTCAACTACCCAATAACATGGTCAGAAATTTGCAATTTGGCCAATTTCATGCAAATTAAAAATATGCCAATTTCAAAACAGGGTCCAGAATAAACAATGCAGATATTCCTGGCTCTAAAATAACATTTTCTTTGTTCATCAGTCATGTCTCCAGGCCCCTCTGATATTACTCTTGCTTTCTATTTTGAATTTTTATTCAAACAAAAAATATAAGATTTACTGTTATACAGACTACTGCAATGTTGTAATAATTGTATAAATAATGTCAACCCATTCATGACTGCATATTAGAATGGCTAGTTGGACATTTATTGGACAATGACATCATTTGTTTACTTTTGAACATCGGCAAAAATCAAACATTTCCCCTACTTTGAGCTCCATTTCAAGGTTCTTTTCATAGTAAAATCAATCAAAATCACCTCTATTTCTATAATATGTTTTCCTTTCTATCAAATGAGACCACGAAAACGAGAATACAACCATAAATACTATATGAAAATAGACCACAAAGTTGGCATTTTAATCCAAAAACACGGTCGGAGATTTTTTTTTCTCATTATGCACTGTGTTCTGCAGGATTTTTTTTATATGGTGCACACTGACCACACAGACCCATTCTCTCACATGTGGGCCTACCAGCTTTCTCCTGCTTGATTTGAAGCTGCTAGAATTATTGAGTATACAGTGGAACCTCTACTTACGAGTTTTATCCATTCCATGACCTTGCTCGCAACTGGATTTGCTCGTTTGCAGAGTCAATTTTCCTCATTTAAATTAATTGAAATGAAATTAATTCGTTCCAGTGGAATTCCAGGCACGTGAAAATACCTTAATAATTTCCCTTATATCAACTCTAAAGCTTATTTATCTATCACAATTCATGTAATATGACATAATAAACAATGTTAATAACATGGAAACATGATATATACACTAGAATGAATAAAATACATGTCATTAGGTACGTGGCTGGTGGTGGTGACAGCAACCATTGTTGTTGGGGTTTATAGGGCCACCACAGTGGCCATTCCTGCTCCTGACTACATTAGTAGAGAACCTAGGATAACCCAAAAAGGTCAGACAGAGTAACTTGCAAGTGCTACACTCTTAATGCTTCACTTAATTGCTACACTCTTAATGCTACACTTAATTGCTACACTCTTAATGCTACACTTTGCCACTGCTGCTTCATGTTGTCTGCCACTGCTACCTCATGATGTCTGCCACTGCTGCTTCATGTTGTCTGCCATTGTTACCTCATGATGTCTGCCACTGCTGCTTCATGTTGTCTGCCACTGCTACCTCATGATGTCTGCCACTGCTGCTTCATGTTGTCTGCCACTGCTACCTCATGATGTCTGCCACTGCTGCTTCATGTTGTCTACCACTGCTACCTCATGATGTCTGCCACTCCACTGCTACCTCATGATGTCTGCCACTGCTGCTTCATGTTGTCTGCCACTGCTACCTCATGATGTCTGCCACTGTTGCTTCATGTTGTCTGCCACTGCTGCTTCATGTTGTCTGCCACTGCTACCTCATGATGTCTACCACTGATGTCCCCAAAGAATCGAACACATCTGCTATTCTGAGCTCAATTTCAAGGTACTTTTCATCGTGAAACCAATTAAAATCATATTTATTTTCGTAGTATATCTTCCATTCTATCACATGAGATCAAATAAAACGAGAATACAACCATAAAAACCATATGAAAATATACCACTAAGGGGAGGCTAATGGCTGAGAAGTGAACTCTGTTATTTATGGTCCTATTTCTTTCATTTTTGGTGTACTTTAAGAAGCATCTTTTCATCATACATTGCTCAAGTTTCAATAAGATAGTCCAACCAACAACTGAGATCCAATTCCCTAGATCAAGAGCAAGAGCCCCCTCACCAGTGTCAATTAACCTCCCTTGAGGCCCGCTCGCATCTGGAAATTTTGCTCGCATCTGGAAGCAAACAACTGACTGAGCAGCTGCTCGTATCTGGAAAAACTCGCACGTGGATGCACTCGTAAGTAGAGGTTCCATTGTATATACGCCAAACACAGTGGCTCGTAAGACGTATATATATGACCAAAACAGTCAAAGGGTTAAATTTAGTAATTCATACAGGAGAAGGGGTTACTCTAGCATTTTAGTCGCCTCTTATGACATGTATGGCTTACGGTGGAAAAATTCTTTTCCACCTTTGCAAAGAATTAAGCTTATATACTACTTAAATGTAGAGATAGCAGCTTAACCCCTTCAGGGTCCAAGGCCCAAATCTGAAGTGGTGCCCCAGTGTCCAAGAATTTAAAAAAAAAAAAAAATGTTATTTTTTCTTATGAAATGGTAGAGAATCTTTTTGTGAAGGTAATAAAACAAAAAGTACGAAATTTAATAGAAAATTGACGAAATTATGCTCTCGCGAATTTTGATGTGTCAGCGATATTTACGAATCGGCGATTTTGCCGACTTTGACTCCCATTTTAGGCCAATTACATTATTCCAGTCAACCAAATTCTTAGCTATTTCACTAGTATTACTTCTATTCTATCGATTGAGCACAAGAAATCGCCAAGTCAACTGTTTCAACTACAAATTAAAGTGATCGGAAATTGTTAATTTGGCCAATTTAACACAAAGTTCAAAATATTCCAATTTCAAAATAGGGTCCAGAATAAACAATGTAGGTATTCCTGGAACTAAACTAACATTTCCTCTGTTCATTAGTTATGTTTTGAGGCTTTACAAATAAATTCCATTTTGATTTTTTATCCACAATGAATTTTTATTCACACCAAAAAATAGAAGATTTACTGTTATGCAATACTGTAATAATTGTATAAATATCATCACCATATTTGTGAATGCATATTAGACCCACCAGCTGGCGTGTATTAGACATGTGAGGTCGTTTGTTTACTCTTGAATATTGGCAAAAATTTAACAATTCTGCTACTTTGAGCTCAGTTTCAAGCCATTTCCAGTGCTAAAACCAATCAGAATCATCTCTATTTCTGTAATATGTCTTCCATTCTATCAAATGAGACCAAGAAATCGCAAATAGAACTATTAAAAACATACGGAAAACACTGCAAAGTCGCTGTTTTAATAAAAAAATCATGATTTCAGTCTTTTTCTCTCATTATACACAGCGTGCTGCAGGATCTGTTTTATGTGGTGCACATATACCACATAGATGTATTCTCTCATATCTAGGCCCAAATGTACCACTCACAGTTTATCAGAGTGAGCTGAGCTCATGACGTAGATCTACGGTTTGGACCCTGAACGTAAAGCCGTAGATCTACGGGACGGACCCTCAAAGGGTTAATATGCAGAGCATTTCGGGCAAACTTAAGACTACTTCAAGATAAAAAAGGAAATGACAATTTTTGTAATTTTATACATAATTTTGGAGGTACAATGGTTACAAGTGTATTGACGGTGAAAGTGTTTCTTTTTCGGGTCACCCTCCCTCGGTGGGAGACAGCCAGTGTGTTGAAAAAAGAAAAGAAAACAAAAAAGACTAGAGGAAGACTGTGCTGTCACTCTTGACAAGAACAAGCTGCAGTAATGTTTTCCACAACCAAAGCATAAAATAGTTACTGGTAAAATTTTACTTTTAATAATTTTTCTCAACACATCATCAATGTGACAAGAGAAACAGATACAAAAATTTATCTAAGGACACTTCGGTAATGACTTACAGGTCTGAGTCAAACACAAAGTTAAATACCATTATTATCATCAACGGTTACCAGTCTATAATATTTAAATCGGATAAGGGCATCCCTCCATTCTGAAACTGTATTTTTATTTGGTTCCCAATAGCACAGTGCAAACAATAATAAAGAAAAGACACATGGTGTACAATAAATTATTATTGTTTCAACCCATGTACAACTTTGTGAAGTTATTTGATAACCTAATACACTACCACACATTTTTCCTCACATTTCCTATGCATTTTATCCCATATCTCTCACTTTAGTATGTTGTTATGGCAGTATGTAGATTAGGGACTAGGCCCTCAAATACTTTTCAGGCATACATACAGGCTGGCCCCACTTTACAGCACTTTGTTTTACAGCATTTTGCTAATGCAGCAGTTTTCAATTATAGCCATTCTTCATTTATCCAGACTTTCTATAATAAATATATTCACCAATTATTATAAGCTAAGGAAGAAAACATTGTAAGGTAAGTAATGTGTGTACTGTATATGCACTTTTTAGGTCTAGCTCTATTGCTCACTTAATATATGATAGTGTAAACATTATCAGGCTTTTATATACATTTGAAAGTGAGAAAAAAGTTACGTTTTACTTTACAGCAGTAGCCCGGAACCTAACTTACTGTATAATCGGGGCTCACTTGTACGTTGCTTTCGTCCTTTCCAGTGAGTACATATTCAGGACTTTGGCACTTGCACACATGTACATGCATACATGTGCATATGTAACAGGAGTGAAACAGTCTGGTAGTGTGAGAACAAGAGCTTGCCACCATAAACAGAAGGCTTATCTCTATAATATAGAAATCTGTGAAATGTACATATGAATGAGACACATGTGCAACATTTGGGAATATTTTTTATGGAAACGTTATGTCAGCCAGTGGCTTCATCAGTCATGAATGTTGTACAAGTGTCTCATTCTTTAAGCTGTTGCTTTTCTAAACCATTTACATCAAATGTATGTGTGGGTGTGTTGGAAGGATACAAATACTTGAACCCATAAATTTTATATTAGAAAATATGAATAAAAGATAAACCTATCAGAAAGAGAGAAAATATAATCCAGTAACAAAAAAGAATAGAAATAATCTTTGAATTTCTAACTCTAGAAACAGTGATGACATTGAATTGTGGCAGCAGCTCAAAGAATAGACAGTAAAAGGGGCAATGAGTGAATGCTTACAAATATATGAGTATCTATCTGGGCAATTTAATTAAACTTTACAAGAGTATACCAACTTCCAGCAAGCATGCATGAGCGTGTTAGATAGGAGTGAATGGTTTTTAGGACTTGACATGCTGTTGGAATATGAGCAAGGTAACATTTATGAAGGGATTCAGGGAAACTGACAGGCCAGACTTGAATCCTGGAGATGGGAAGTACAGTGCCTGCAGTCTGAAGGAAGGGTGTTAATGTTGCAGTTTTATAACTGTAGTGTAAGTGTGCCTCTGGCAAGATAGTGATGGAGTGAATGATGATGAAAATTTTTCTTTTTGGGCCACCCTGCCTTGGTGGGAAACGCCCGATGTGTTAATAATAATAAAATAAAAAATCAGTATTTACCTATGGTAAATGGCTTGCATAAGAGCTGTCCATCCATTTTTATGGTCCTGAGCATCAATATGAGCTCCGTATTGCAGAAGAGCCTGAGCAACATGTATGTGACCAAGCATCGCTGCAACCATTAAGGGAGTTGCACCATCTGCTGTAGTAACCTGACACTGACTAGGGTCTGCCAGGAGAATTTCTTGAACTTCTTTGACGTCTCCACGATGTGATGCCTCCATTATATCACACAGTGCTCCTATCAACATGTAACAATTTAAAAAATTGGGAAAACTATTGTCAACAAGTTGTAATGACACAAAATTGTAATGACACGATTGCAAACAAACCATGGAATGGGTGGGGGTTCGAACTCATGGCGAATGAGTTTCATGACTCACTTCCCAAGGGTTTGAACCCTATCTCTTCCATGGTTTTTTATGCTGAAATGGTTAGCAAGATAAAAAGTACAATGGCAGATTGTCCCAACTTCAATCTCACCTGGTAAATTATGCATTTTAATTTAATTTTATATAAAAAATGATCAATTAAAACATTTAAATTTAAGTTTCATGTGCTGTACCCACAGTGTAGTGATTGCTTGACTATTTGCCATTCATTTATACGAGGGCAACATTAGCTTCCCATTTTCTAGTTTTGATAACAAAGTGAAAGAGCATATCATTAATTTTGGATCATTTATATTCAATCTTATTTCTCTATATGGAATAACATTCTTTGGGCAGTGAATACAGCCTCTCCTTACTTAACAATGGAGTTCCATTCTTAAAACCACATCAGCAAACGAATTCATTGCTAAGCAAGGAGCATACTAAAAAGGTAGTGGGTTTGTGTCAACCATCTTTGATATTGTTTTAATGTCACCTTTGTGCCATTTATAATATTTTTAGAATTTTTTTATATCTTTATAGTGTACTGTATATTGTAATAAACAGAATAAATCAGCTCTAATATACATTATTTAGGCATGCATACTGGTCAGAAAGTCCGTCGTAAGTCCGAGTCATTGGTAAATGATTATGTCGCTAATTGAGGAGAGGCTGTATAGTGTTTATAAAATTGTCATACTGATAGTTCCCTTTGTTACCCCAGTCCTGTGTTAACCCTTTCAGCATTGGTGCCATACTAGTACGGCTTGCACACCAGGGTTGGTGCCGTACTAGTATGCATAAATTCTAGCACCTTCAAATCTAGCGAGAGAAAGCTGGTAGGCCTACATATGAAGGAATGGGTCATGTGGTCAGTGTGCACAGTATAAAAAAAAATCCTGCAGCACACAGTGCATAATGAGAAAAAAAAACTCTGACCGTGCTTTTGGTTTAAAACAGTGAGTCTGCAGTGTATTTTAGCATGGTATTTATGGTTGTATTCTAGTTTTCCTGGTCTCATTTTATAGAATGGAAGACATATTACGAAAATTGAGATGATTTTGATTGGTTTCACAATGAAAAGTACAGTGGACCCCCGGTTAACGATATTTTTTCACTCCAGAAGTATGTTCAGGTGCCAGTACTGACCGAATTTGTTCCCATAAGGAATATTTTGAAGTAGATTAGTCCATTTCAGACCCCCAAACATACACGTACAAATGCACTTACATAAATACACTTACATACATAATTGGTCGCATTCGGAGGTGATCGTTATGCGGGGGTCCACTGTACCTTGAAATTGAGCTCAAGTAGCAGAAATGTTTGATTTTTGCCAAAGTTCAAAAGTAAACAAATCATGCCATGCATCCAATACATGTCAACTGGTGAGTCTAATATTCTTTCACAAGTGCGCTGATATTATTTACACTATTTCTACATTAATGCAGTAGTCTGCATAAAAGTAAATCTTCTATTTTTTGTGAGAATAAAAATTCAAAGTGGAAAGCAAAATAAATGTAACAGAGGCCTGGGGACGTGACTAATGAACAGAGGAAATGTTATTTTAGTGCCAGGAATGTCTGTCTTGTTTGTTCTGGACCCTATTTGGAAATTGGCATCTTTTGAAATTTGTGTGAAATTGGCAAAATTGCCAATTTCTGACCTCTTTACTGGATAGTTAAAATAGGTAAATGGGTGGTTTCTTGTACTCATTCGATAGAAGAAAATGAGTTCAAGCAAAATAGTTACGATTTTTGTCAACTGGTAAATTGGAATTGGCTGAAAACAGGGCTCAAAGTGGGCGAGTCGTCGAGACCGCTAACTTCGCGAAAGCATAATTTCGTAAGTTTTCCATGAATTTTCATACTTTTGGTGTCATTATGATCAGGAAAAGATTCTCTATCATTTCATAAGATTTTTTTTTTTTCAAAAAATTTCCAACCCTGAGAACAAGTTTAGGAGAGGGCCTGCCGACCCTGAAAGGGTTAAACAGCTGTTCAAGTGGTCATTTCTGCTGGCATATTTATTATTCAGTAATGCAACCCAAAATTCTACATTAACCCTTTCACTGTTGGTCACATGGATCTTTGTCAGTGAGATCAGTGTTGCTCACATAAATCTATACACAATTTATTGCATCTTAAATTTACTGTGAGTGGCAATTTTGACTTCAACATGAGAGAATGGGTCTGTGGTGGGTGTTCAACAAACTGCATATATACTCTTATTCTTGACCTTTGTAAGAAGCAATCAAGGTCCCAGGACCAAAATGTTTCTTAATAATATATCCTAGTACTGGCTCTCATGTCTTTTGATTGAGGACTGGATTTAAGAAGAACCTGCCTAGCATGGGCCAGTACACTAACTACAGTACTCCATAATGTTCATGTTATGTGTTGACTGCAGATGCAGAAAACAATATTTCCTCCCTTGTGTGTTGCCTGAAAATATATATTCCCCCCATCCCCATCTTATGTCTGGGGATATGCAAAAATCTGATTGAGAGAAAGCATAATCTTTCCCTCCAATTAATGGTTCAAGTTGTTTTTTGACTGGTAATAAGTAGTACATTTTGCTTTACAACAGTTTCAAAATGCTATACAGTGGATGATCCTAATTCGCGTGGGTTAAGTTCCTGAAAACTTCGCTACTAATGATTTTTGACTTATGGATTGATAAAACATATGAGGAATATAGGGTTGCATTCCTTATACCTCTGAGAGAGCTATAACAGCTATTTTAATTTCATTAAAATAATTTTTCTTAACACTGTCGATGATGATGATGCTCTGTGAAATACCTGAACTCCAGTGAGATTCAGACAAGTTAAACAAAGTACATTAGTGAATGGAGAGGGTGGTTGTGGACTTATACCTCAGTCTTTACTCTGTGTCACACTGAGCATTACTCACCGCACAAGCCTTTATCTTTGCCTCATTCTCTCAGACCGAATGAATTGTTGATTCTCTAATTCCAAACACTTGTGCCATCTACATGATGCATGCACCACCCTTCAGCATCTCAGTTACTCCAGTTTTTCATAATACACATGGTATGACTCAAGAAATCATAATGACATGATTGCAAACAAGCCATACCACGGGCGGGGCTTGAACTCATGGTTAATGAGTTGCAAAACTCCAGACTGACATGTTAGCCACTGGGCCAGCTAGTATCATGTTCAGTCTTCTTCCTTGATTCACCAATGTCGTCTGCACTTTGAAAGTCATGATAAATATCCAGAGATGAGAAAGGGTGATGAAAAGCAAAACTTAGTGACATGAACAAAACTAAAATTGTTTTGTGCATGTCCAGATACACTGATTTGTGTGTGAGGCTGGTTTCTTTACATCACATCACCGTCCCTCACACCCTTCCCTGCAGTGAGGTTGCCTAATACATTGTGGAGAGGTGTCAGGTCTGCCAGCCATGGCACCACTTAATAGAAATGTGCATTACCAATGGAAATGAATTCTTTTCCAGTGCTGCTTAACGGAAATGTGTGCCACTGATGGAAGTGAATTCCACTCCCGTGCACCTTAATGATAATGGGCATGCTTTTCGTGGAAATAAAAACAAAAATTTCAATCACAAAATATTGAAAACATGAGCTAAGATTGCATGACCTAAGGCTTTCTACTACATAAAACTCATTAAAAACATAAGCAAATACAGTGGACCCCTGAGTTTCGACAGCCTCGACTTTCGTGAAATTCGACCTTCAGCAAGATTTTGGAAAAATTTGGCCTCAAGTTTCGTGAAAAGACTCGTGTTTCGGAGACCATCCGGTACCCGTCCACCCATCACCGCACACACCAAGCCAGTCTCCCACGCCATTCACGCTCAGTGTGCCAATGTTTACCAACACGTGACCATCACCCCGTGGGTTCATACAATACATTTCATAATAATCCATTGTTTTTTGTGCTTGCAACTGCTAAATAAGTCATCATGGACCCAAGGAAAGCTAGTGCAAGCCCTTTGGTAAATAAAGTGAGGAACACGATCCAGAGGGATTTTGACGGGGATGTGGAAGAGTTGGTGGAGGACCGCAGGGAAGAGCTAACCACTGATGAACTGCAAGAGCTTCAATTGGAATAGCATCAGACCACAGCTGAGGAACTTGCTTCAGAGGAGGAGGAAGAGGGAGTGGATGAGGTGCCTTCTTCAAAGATTAAGGAGATTTGTGCAATGTGGAATGAGTTGCAAAGTTTTGTTGAAAAGTATCACCCTGACCAAGCTGAAACAAGCCATATCTGCAACATGTACAATGACAGTGTTGTGTCCCACTTCAGGGAAATCTTAAAGAAACGCCAGAAAAAGACCTCTCTGGACAGATATTTTGTGCGACAGGGGTCCAGTGACTCTCAAGTTATTCCCAGTGGCATTAAAAGAAGAAGGGAAGTAACCCCAGATAAGGACTTGCTACCTAAAGTCCTAATGGAAGGAGATTCTCCTTCCAAACAATAGTGTACACCTTCCTCCTATCCCCTCCTCCCGTCTTCCATCCACCCAGAAGTCTTCAGTAAAGGTAAGTGTAATGTTATTATTATTTTTTTAAATGCATGTACTTGATTTCTGATTGTTTTCATTATGTAAATCTTTATTTAATTTGAAAAAAAAAAATTTATTTTAATATTTCTGGGTGTCTGGAACGGATTAATTTTATTTCCATTATTTCTTATGGGGAAAATGGTTTCGAGTTTCGTGAATTTCGACATTCGGCGGGCTCTCTGGAACAGATTAATCACGAAACTCGGGGGTCCACTGTACATTGAGTAAATAATGAACAATACAGTGGACCCCCGGTTTACGATCAGCTCCCAATGCGACCAATTATGTAAGTGTATTTATGTAAGTGCGTTTGTATGTGTATGTTTGGGGGTCTGAAATGGACTAATCTAATTCACAATATTCCTTATGGGAACAAATTCGATCAGTACTGGCACCTGACCATACTTCTGGAATGAAATAATATCGTAAACTGGGGGTCCACTGTATTATGGAGGTGGCAGGATGGGGGTCAAGGAGGTTTTGAGTGTTAGGGATTTGGACATCCAGTAGGCTTGTGCCAACATACTGGACAGGAGTGGAAGCCAGTGGCTTTTATGATTTGATGAGCTGCTGGTGTGAGCAAGGTGATATTTATGAAGGGATTCAGGGAAACTAACCAGCCAGACTTGAGTTCTGGCGGGTGGGAAATACAGTGCCTGCACTCTCAACGAGAGGTGGGGATGTTGTTGTTGGGAGGGTCATCTAAACTGTGATGTCAACACCCTTATGGCAAGACAGTGATTGAATGAGTGACAGTGAAAGTGCTTTCTTCTTTGTTGCGTCACCCTACCTCGATGGGACATGGCTGTAATGTTTAAAAAAATATAAAGGCAAGTAGATAGCATACTATTTACTATAAAATACAGTATCTCTAAGTATATTTTTTACAATGTGACAGATTACACATCATTTGCTGGGTCCAATAACATTTATATTTTCAAGAATTAAAGATATTTTTGGGTTTGATTGAAATAAATTAAACTTTTATTAGTTAGACACTAAAATATGATCAGGTTCAAGAAAATCAGAGTATAACAGTACGGTAAACCATCAATATAATGGACTAATAGGGAAAGTGTCTGAATGTCCATTAAATCAGAATAATGATTTAATGGCAAAAATAAGCACCAAAGTGCTGCACTGTATGCCTAATATGTTGCAGCATTGTACACACAATTTACAGATATACTGCAATAAACATTGAAAATTAGTGAGTTAAAAGTACAAATTGACTAGTGAATTTTGCCCATAACTTTAAACCTGTTTTATCAAAGGTTTACTGTATTTTAAGGGAAAATTTTTTATTTCGTTGCAAGATTACATCGAGATTATGAAATTACGAAAATGAGTTGCATTGCAAAGAGCCACTATCATGCCTAGGCATTATGGGCAGACTTAATTTAATGGCTTACAGAATACTTAAGTTGTACATCTGTTTTTAATTATAGTACACAGTAATTTTACTCAAATTACAATAGTTTCAATAGTAAATATTGAAATTATATTATGGGAATATAACATTGTGAGTTGTTGAAAGTAGTTTATAGTATGAGAAGGCTACAACTGGGTAGTAATGTTTTGGGTAGGTATTTATACTACAAGGTAGTTTTAATTAGTGTATGAGCTTTGGGCATCCAGTTTTGAAGTTTTAAGATTCAGGTAACTGGGAGAGTTTTTGGCAAAGTTAAACATTGAGTATTGAGTATTTAGTTTAGGATGAGTTATATATGTTAATGATCCTAATTGTATAATACACTGTACTCCACTTTATAGAAATAAAGTTTATTTATTTGTTAAAGATAATTCAACAAAGTTTAGCAGAATAGAAGATTTGAGTGTGAAGATATCTGAAGATACAGAGCTTAAGATATCTCAGGGCCTAATTCATAAGACATTAATTTCAAATACAAAACTATGAATACATATTTTATGGTATAATTATCATATCCATGATTATTACATAATGGAGTTTATGCAAAGGGTTACAATCAAATATTTTTTTCATTTTGCCTTCTAAAAAACATTAAACATTCAAATATAAATGGGAAGAAACTTGCTTGGCATACTACTCTGCAATTTGCATACCTGGAATTTACCTGGAGAAAGTTCCGGGGTTCAACGCCCCTGCAGCCCGGCCTGTGACCTGCATATATGATCTTACAAAACCAACCTTTCTTCTTTTGCCGAGTTGTCTTTTTCTGTAGAAAGTTAGCAATGTCTGGTCTGTTGCAAGCAGCAGCAACATCTAAAGCAGTAAGATCACAGGCATTAACTGCATCTGGATCAGCCCCTCGATCTAGTAAGATCTGTGCAGTGGACACGCTGCCTCCAGAAGCACTAAACATCAGTGGGGTAATACCTAAAATTGTTAGGCCAAATAATATGCAGAATACTACAAGATGGGTAAGATACATGTCCAACCATTAGGTATCTTTATTATTACAGCATATCACTTGCTCAGCATGTTTCTTCAGCCTTGAAAAATAAGTAGAATAATTATTAAGTGGTCAGTCATCCCAGCGTTGATAAGTGTTCAGCTCTATAGTCTAGATCAATGTAAAGTTGAGGCATAAAAACAAAGCCTTTATACTGGAGCCTTAACTTCACACTGACCAAGGCTATGAAGCTAAACACTTATCAAGCCTGAGGGACTGACAACCTCTAAATTACTTCTCCAAGACTGAGGAGCTTATTGTCTCATATTTACCTCTCTAATGTGTCTGCTTTCTCCAATATTTGTCACCTTTGTATTCAACTGAAGAAGCTTGCTGAGCAGGTGAAACATTTTGCTGAAAAAGATATCCGAGTGTTGCACGTGTCTCACTTGTCTACTTGTCAGCACTGTATACCATTAATATTATGATACAGAACAATACTGATCACAGCTTTAGTTAAGTATAATAACAACAGAATATTTAATTCCTATAAGAATGCAATTCACAATGAAATTTTCTTGTCAGGTGTTTTTTTTTTTCCTCAATGTCTGGTCATTATTTTTAATGTTTAAACTCAGAAATTACTGTGAGAGCTTTGATAGCCCAAGGAAAGTAAAAACTTATTATGGAAGCATATGAGATTTTATTAACTTACTTCAAACTGAAAAAAGCACAAAATAATGTACAACTGATACAGCTATGGACATGTAATACTCACAACACCTACCAGTTTTTGGGACCGATTTGTTAGCATTGACACCTTTGTCTAAATACAGGCGAACCACAGCATCATTGCCATGTTGTGCAGCAATCATGAGAGGAGTTATCTGGCAAGCACTAATTGTGGGAATGGGATTGAAGTTAGCCCCCGCATCTATCAATGCCCTGATGGTACCCATGTGGCCACTTACTGATGCCAACATTAATGCTGTCATTCCTGTCAAGAAAAGAGACATTGAATGCCTGAGATTAGTGGGAAGTACAATGGATCCTGTCATTAACGGACTAATAGAGGGGAGGTGCTGTATGATGTTGCAGATTGTCCGTAACTTCAGAATTAAGAAATTACTTTTCACGATCGTTTGGTTGTCTTCTGAACTAGAGGACTTGATCCACTAGAAGACAACCAAACATTAAGAATGAAGGTATTATGACCTGAAGTACTATAGTAAAGCACGGTATAGCAATTTTATAGAACTGTACTAAATTTACAATACAGTGGGACCTTGGTACTCGAACTTAATTCGTTCCAGAAGGCTGTTCGAGTGCCGATCTGTTCGAGTACTGAACAAATTTTTCCCACCAATTGTCTTTTTTGTTGGCTGTTATCACTAATCTTCTTAGGCCCATGGTGACTTATTTATACAAATAATATAAAAAACACCAAAAAAATGCGAAGAAATACAAAATAGTTTACAGCGAAGTTCTGGCAGGTCGTGTTTATTTGGTCGAGTGCCGAGCAAACAGTTGACTACCAAGCGATTTTTTTACTGAACAAAGAGTTCAAATATCAAATTGTTCGAGTACTGAGGTTCCACTGTAATATTATATGTGTATGTGTGTGTAGTGTCCTAGGTAGTAGGCTGGTAGATAGCAACCACCCAGTGAGGTACTACCGTTCTGCCAAGTGAGTGTAAAACGAAAGCCTGTAATTGTTTTACATGATGGTAGGATTGTTGGTGTCCTTTTTTTCTGTCTCATAAACATGCAAGATTTCAGGTATGTCTTGCTACTTCTACTTACACTTAGGTCACACTACACATACATGTACAAGCATATATATACACACCTTTCTGGGTTTTCTTCTATTTTTCTTACTAGTTCTTTTTCTTGTTTATTTTCACTTACTCCATGGGGAAGTGGAACAGAATTCTTCCTCCATAAGCCATGCGTGTCGTAAGTGGTCACTAAAATGCCATATATTACGTATATATTACTAAATGTCAAAGGAGAAACTTTCGTTTTTCCTTTTGGGCCACCCCGCCTCGGTGAGATACGGCTGGTGCGTTGAAAGAAGAAAGTGTGTGTAGTGTGCAGCAAACCTGGCATAGAGTGTTTCAGAAAGTGTGAGTGGGCAAAAGTTGGGTGGCTATGAAAGAGAGTGTGAATGTGGGTGGGTGAATGAGAAAGAAGGTGGACATGAAGGGTGGATATGAGAGGGTGGATGTGAATGGTGGTTACGAGAGGGTGGATATGAATGGTGGGTATAAAAGGGTGGACATTATTAAGGGTGGGTGTGAGAGGGTGGACATAAGGGTGGGTATGAGAGAGGGTGGGTGGGTATATGATGAGGTTGGGTAGATGGGTGAGTGAATGTGAGAAGGTGAGTGGGTAGGTGGGCAAATATGAGAGGGTGAGTGCTTATTTCTTTATGCCATACAAACAAGTGTAGTTTAAATGTATTAGTACAATGGAAGGCACAAAAGAAAGCCACTAATTATGCAGTGCATTTCAGGCAACCATTCATAAGACTTACATGTTACTCAAGAACTAGACATAGACTATTAAGTAGGACTTCTCGTGTAGTTAACTACAATCATAAGTACAATAAGAAATGCAGCTAATGACAAAAGGTCAGTTACAAAAGCATTACATACTATTTAAATTGATTCAATGATCTTACTTTTGTGGAATGATTGAAGAGAGATGGAGAAGATACAGTAAGTTACTTAGTTACAATACAAATAAAATGGAACAAGATATGTTATGAATTATGTATGAGAGTTGAAGGAAGATTGGAAGAACAAGGACAGAACTGGATGAAAGTTAGTTTTGTTTGACACAGATTATGGCTGTCTCAATTATGTTAATTAAATCAGCAATTACAATGAAAAATGGAGTGTTCATCAACGAGTGTCTAACGAGAAAACGTCAAAACCTTCTGTTCAGGTTGAGAAAACTTAAACAGGAAAACAAAATACATCAGTGTTTCACTTGAGATGGGAAAATACTAGCTAGAAAAACTTCAACAGGACAACAATACATCATTTCAAATGAACATGATTTCTCTACCTTCCTTAGAAAAGCTAACATTTCTGTAACAGATTAGATAAGTGTCCTTAATACATAAATACATGTGGTGCATATAGTGTACGTTACTATTATATTATTGTGCATTATTATTTTTTACTATTAAATTATTGCGCATTATTATTTTTTTTCTTTTACTAGCTAATACCAGCTACCTCAAATACTTTTTACTTTTTAATTACTTTTAATTGCTCATAATTTTGTGTTGCAAGTCAAATCTTACTCCAAATTAATGTTATTCATGGTTGCTACCTGTCCATTTAATTCTGTTTACCACTACTTTTTTAGTCCCTTTTATTTTGTGTGTGCAATTAGTGTATATTCTAATTACATTATTGTGTGAGTCCCAAAACTATCTTTTGCTAGCTAGTACCAGCTACCTCATATTTCTCTACTTTTTATAGTGCAATTAATTGCTCAACTTATTATACAATACAAATCAGACCTTACTCCCAAATCAATATTATATCATAGTGACTATCTGTCCATTGAACTTTGTTTACCATTACTTAACCCTTAAACGGTCCAAACGTATATATACGTTCACTCGCGTAGCGTCCCAAATTTTTTGAGGAAAAAAAAAATCTTTTCTTTTAAAACGAAAAAAGAGCATATGGTACCCAGGCATCCCCAATTATTTTAATATGGCGCACAGTGAGTGTGCACACCCATTCTCTCATGTCTAGGTGACTCAGACTTATTGTGGCAATGTTGAATGAATGACAAAGAAAACGTATATATACGTTTGGGGCGCTACGCGCATGAACGTATATATACATTTGGACCATTTAAGGGTTAATTTAGTCCCTTATATATTTTCTCCTTTATTTTAGCTGTACATATCTACTGCAGTTCATAAACTCACTTGTTAAAATAATTAAGGTGCTGTCAACATGACTCACGAAATCGTAATGACACGATTGCAAACAAACCATACCCCGGCAGGGATTGAACCCGTAGTCAGAGAGTCTCAAAACTCCAGACCGTTGCGTTAGCCACTAGACCAGCTAGCCACAATAAGATTCGTCCAACTAGGTATATTTCTACACCATAGGAAGGTTAGCATAGGCACCACTGTGACCACAAATGCATTTGTGGTCACAGTAGTGCCTATGCTAACCTTCCTATGGTGTAGAAATATACCTAGTTGGACGAATCTTATTGTGGCTAGCTGGTCTAGTGGCTAACGCGACGGTCTGGAGTTTTGAGACTCTCTGACCGCGGGTTCAATCCTGGCCGGGGTATGGTTTAATTAAGGTGCTATTAGATGCTTAAGTGTATAACTGAATTATCTATTCTGTAATAATCCCTTTTTCTTTCAAATTTTTACAAGTTTTAGATTAATCACGGTGTCTTAGTCATAAGTCTAGTTGTAGATTCAATATAAATCTTATATAATTTTACTCAGAAAATCTAGTTTGTAAAATTACTCTCATCCTATGACTACAGACATAGATCCTGATGTAAACTTTTTACAAAATGAATTACATGAATCAACCAGTAACTGTAATTACTACACAGCAGACCAAGCAAAGACATTACTCAGTGCAAACAATAATATAACCATCTTTAACTACAATGTCAGATCCTTGAGCAAATATTATGATGACCTCACAGCATTACTCAGTTCCTTTCATTCCAATATATCAATCATCACACTCACAGAAACCTGGCTTAAGCCTGATATTACAGATTTCTATACCATTCCTGGCTACATGGCCATACACAACTGTAGAACAAACCAGCAAGGGGGAGGAACAGCTATATACTATATACTCAAATGTATCAATAAATCTTGCACAAGGGACAAACATGGAGAATATATCATAGCCAAATTTAAATCAAAAGACCTGCAAAACCCCTCACAGTTATAAACATCTACAGAGTACCACAGTCAAACATTTATCACTTTAGTGAAAAACTAGGAAACATGATTACTGATGCACACATGAATAAAGACCACCTACTACTAACAGTAGATTTCAACATAAACATACTACATGACCAGGACCCACAAGTAACCGAATTCACAAACACAATGAGTAACTGCCTGTTGCTACCAGCAATATCTAAACCTACAAGAATCTCCAAGACAAGCATCTCCTTAATAGACCACATCTGGACAAACACCATATCCCCTTTAAAATCAGGCATAATCACAGACAACACTACAGACCACTACCCAACCTTTCTCATAACTTATCTGGGCAAACTGCCACAAGACATTACTGAAGTAACCTTCAGACTACATAACGAGACAGCAGTTAACAACTTTATAGCAGCTATGAATAACATCGATTGGCAAAATGAGCTCGAAACATATACAGATATGAATGAATGTATAAATAATTTTCTAAAAAAAGCCCAAAGCCTCTATAACAGACATTGCCCCCAAAAAACTAAACAGATCACAGCAAAGAGACTGAATAATCCCTGGCTAACACCAAGAATCCTCAAATCCATTAACACAAAGCACAAATATGAAAAACAGTATAGAATGGGTCAAATAACTAGAGAACAGTCGAAAAGTTACTCGTCAGCACTTACCAGCCTGATAAGAAGGTCAAAAAAAATTGTATTATGAAAATAGATTACATAACATCAAAGGTGATAAGAAAAAAACCTGGAAAACTCTATCTGAAATTCTTGGAACTAAAAAGTTATCCAAAAACAAAGCAATCAAACTAACAAAATCAGATGAACCCCTACTCACTCCAACTGAAACAGCAACCAGACTTAATGTTTTCTTCTCCCCCATAGGAAAAAATCTAGCAAACAAAATACCAAGCACAAACACCCGTCCATCAGACTACCTCATAGATACCTACCTAAATATGCTACTCCTAGCTCCAACCAACCCCATTGAAGTTACGCTCATCATAAACACCCTTAAAAACAAGGCAGGAGACATAAACAACTTGCCTGCTTTTATGTACAAAAAAGCTTCTCAAGCATTGTCACCAATTATTACAACGCTCTTTAACAAATCCACTGAATCATCTACCTTCCCAATAATCCTCAAAATAGTGAGGGTCACTCCTATCCATAAAGGAGGTGACCAAGCTGACTTGAATAACTATAGACCAATATCTAACTTACCACTGCTCTCTAAAATCTTTGAAAAATTAATTCATAGACGGATCTATTCCTACCTCGTTTCGCACAACATATTAAACCCTTGTCAGTTTGGATTCAGGAATAATAAAAGCACAAATGATGCTATCATACACATACTAGAACTAATATATATGGCACTTGAAAAGAAAGAAGTCCCGCTGGGCATTTTCATTGATTTACGTAAAGCTTTCGATACAGTCGACCATGAACTGCTGTACTTCAAATTAATGCACTATGGTATCAGAGGCCACTCCCTCAACTACCTAAAGTCATACCTTAGTAACAGAACTCAATATGTGTATGCAAATGATGCAAACTCTTCCACCCAACCAATCACAGTAGGAGTCCCACAAGGAAGCGTCCTTGGACCACTCATCTTTCTCATCTACATCAATGATCTACCGAATGCATCACAGCTACTCAAACCCATATTATTTGCAGATGACACTACATATGTCTTTTCCCACCCAAACACAGTCATACTAGCAAACACAGTCAATGCTGAATTACAGAAAATATCTGCCTGGATGATGACTAACAAACTTACCCTGAACACTGATAAAACCTATTTCATTCAGTTTGGAAACAAAGCTGCAAATGATCCAATTAACATAATGCTAAATGGATCATCAGTCACAAGACTCACAGATGGAAAATTCCTAGGTATCCACCTTGATAGTAGCCTTAAGTTCCAGACACACATACAACAAATCACCAAGAAAATCTCCAAGACATACTATCAAAGATAAGGTACTACGTTCCACAATCAGCTCTCCTGGCACTGTACCATTCACTCATATACCCTTATCTTACATATGGAATTTGTGCATGGGGATCAACAACATCCAATCACCTAAAACTGCTAATAACCCAGCAAAAGGCAGCAGTAAGAATGATAACAAATTCCCACTCCCACCAGCATACTCCACCAATTTTCAAAAGTCTGAATCTGCTCACCATTAAGAACATCCATACTTATTCATGTGCCTACTACATACACAGAACAATACACGCAAATATAAACCCCCCACTCAAACTTCTCCTCACCAACCTAAACAGGACACATGATCACAACACAAGACGCAGATCTCTTTTTGATATACCTCGAGTCCATATCACACTGTGTAAAAACTCTATGCACATAAAGGGCCCCAAAATATGGAATTCATTACCAGAAGATATTAAAGTAACCCAGTCTGAAAATCAATTTAAGACTCTTCTCAAAAGCCACTTAATCACCCTAGACTAAATGCTAAATACTCAGTACAAACTTACCTATGTACTCCCACATCATAACTGAAACAAACACATTGAACCTTTTATCCATTGTTGACAGGAATATAATTGAATCATTGTTTTCACAAAAAGCATTTTTGAATATAAATATATCCTTGTATTATACAAATTTTGATTCATTTATAATTAATATTCTACTGTACAACATTGAAATAATTACTATCCTACTGTACAACTATGATATACTCCTTAGTATTAAGTAGACTGTAAGCCAATAATGTTAAGTTGGGCCATAATGCCTAGGCATAATAGAGGCTCTCTTTGCATTGCAACCCACTATTGTAAATACAAAATCTCAATGTACTGTTTGCAAAGACATAAAATAAATAAATAAATAAAAATAAATAAATGATGTGTTTTTTAACAATACCTTTGAATCTACTGGCAGAAAAGGAACCTTTTGTTGCTTCAGGCAGGGAGTTCCAGATCTCAGGGCCTTTTATGTGCATTGAGTTTTTACACAGGTTAAGTCAGACACAGGGGATGTCAAAGAGGTTTTTGTCTTAAGAACATAAGAAAGAGGGAACACTGCAACAGGCCTACTGGCCCATGCAAGGCAGGTCCAAGTCCCCTACCGGCTTAAGCCAATAACCCAACCTAGTTACGTCAGGTCACATTCACTTAAGGAAGGAGCATGGCATTAGACCTAGTAGCACAAGTTAGTCAGGTCCAATTCACACCCACTCATGTATTTATCTAACGTATTTTTAAAACAGCACAACGTTTTAGCTTCTATGACGGTACTTGGGAGTTTGTTCCACTCATCCACAACTCTATTACCAAACCAGTGCTCTCGTATATCCTTCCTGAATCTGGATTTATGCCAGTGCGTTCTGTTGCAGCTATCAAGGAAAAGTTTCAGAGAAGGGTTTATATTAATTGTTCTACATATATAGCAGGCACAGTAGTATAAATGCATGTTGTGTATATTAAGTTCGAGCTTTCAAAGAGTGAGGGAGTGTGTAGTCTGGCACTGGAATGGGTAACTATTTACAAAGAAGTTTTTGATAAATTAGACACATGTGCAACTCTTGGGTATCTTTATTGAGGAAACGTTTTGCCACACAGTGGCTTCATCAGTCCATACAAAGGAGAATCTTGAAGAATAGGAGGAGAATGAGGTAATCAGTCCCTCAACCTTGAGGGACTGATTACCTCATTCTCCTCCTATTCTTCAAGATTCTCCTTTGTATGGACTGATGAAGCCACTGTGTGGCGAAACGTTTCCTCAATAAAGATACCCAAGAGTTGCACATGTGTCTAATTTATCAACATGTCGGTTCTCTGAACCATTCATCTACAAAGAAGTTTTTGTTGAGTTATTAATAGGTTTTAAGTGATTTGACATAGTAGATCCCCCAGGTACAAATACAAGTACACAAGGGCTCTTCACCTTACAGCATTTCACTAATGCAGCAGCTTTCAATTATATCCATTCTTCATTTATTCAAACTTCCTACAATAAATATATTCACCACTCGCTATAAGCTAAGGATGAAAATATTTTAAGGTAAGTAATGTATGTAATGTCTATGCATTTTTAGGCCTAGCTCTATTGCTCACTTGATATATGACAGTGTAAACATGTTATCGGGTTTCTATATGCATTTCAGAGTTAAAAACAAAAAAAAAACATATTTTGCTTTACAGCAATTTTGGTTGCAAGTTTGAGGTACACAGTAAGTAATGTATCTGTTTTGGAGACCTTAGTTATCTGCTGTATGTGGGTAGTCAATTTCAAGTTGATCAAGATGTAGTGGTGGTAGTTAAGTGTAGTGGTGGTAGACGTTAATGAGAGGTTTCACTGTATAATGCTTGATAAAGTCAACTATTCAAAGTTTGCAGTTGCAAGTTATAAACTCATTCATTTTTATATACATCTTTATTCTCTTATAAAATAATTATTAAATAAATTAAAAAGCTAATTTAGTATTGATAAAAATATTCGTTAAACTTTTCCACAAATATTACGGAAAAATAAATCCTTTTCATATTGCAGTATCACTAATGAGTTGACAGTGTGTTTGGCTGCTGATTCCCGTAATAAAGTTCCTTCTGTTGTGAAAGACAGAAATGTATTTTACATTTGCCTACTATATATACAGAACATTAAATTCCAATATCAATCCTCCACTCAAACTTTTCCTAGACGGCTTCAACAGAACACACAGGCATAACATGAGACACAAAATACAGTGGACCCCCGGTTAACGATATTTTTTCACTCCAGAAGTATGTTCAGGTGCCAGTACTGACCGAATTTGTTCCCATAAGGAATATTGTGAAGTAGATTAGTCCATTTCAGACCCCCAAACATACACGTACAAACACACTTACATAAATACACTTACATAATTGGTCGCATTCGGAGGTGATCGTTATGCGGGAGTCCACTGTACTTTTTGACATCCCATGTGTCTGTCTCACACTAGCCACAATTGCAATGCACATAAAGGTTCCAAAGATCTGGAACTCTTTGCCTGAAACAGCAAGAGGTCTCTTGCCCACAAATCAATTTAGGACTATACTCAAAAATCATCTCAGCTATCAATAACAACGATACCCACACTATGCTAAACTCTAACCAAATTTAAAGCAACTCTGCCAAATATTTTATTATCCCAAACTTAAAAATGTATGTCTGTATCATTAATTGTACTACCTCATATTAACAATACATAAACAAACTTAATTACAAACTTAAAAATGTATGTATGTATCATAAATTATACTACTACCTGGTTGGATGATACGGTGACTGACGACGAGGTCAGAATAGAAGGTTACAATATAAAACACTTAGATAGGAACAGAAAGGGTGGTGGAGTATGTGCCTACATTAGAAATGACTTAGCTTACAACCCAAGACCTGATTTAAATAACAATAAACTGGAGATTCTATGGTTTGAAGTGCTGCTTCCCAAGACCAAACCCATCTTAGTAGGAACTAGTTACCGCCCTCCTACCCAGGACCAGTTCTTAGAAAACTTTTTCAGAGTATTGTCCGGACTTGAAAACAATTGCGAGACAATAATACTGGGCGACTTCAATATCTGTTTTCAGCAGCAAAATAACGGGCTATGCAAAAGGTATAAGCAAATTCTAGGCTTAAATAGTTACACTCAACTAATTAATACCCAACCCGGATCACACAGTTCTCAGCAACCCTAATTGACCACATACTTTGTAACCACTCTGAGAACATTAGTCAGTCAGGTGTCATTACCACAGGTCTTAGTGATCATTTCATAATAAAAATAAACAAGTGAAAAGGGATGGTTTTGATTAACATTTGCCTAATATGATTTACTGAAGCTTCAATAACAGGTTGGACAAATATGTGGGTGTGAATGGTTGGATATGAGGATTACCTGCCTAATATGGGCCAGTAGGCCTCTTGCAGTATTCCTCCATTCTTATGTTCTTATTTAAAGAGAAAAAATATGAGAAGAAAATATAACAGAGTCGATGCTTGCTCACTTACCTAATCTGTTTCGTGTATCTACAGAGGACCCAGCTTGCACCAATAGCATCACAACATGCATGTGCCCATGTCTTGCAGCCTGCATTAAGGGTGTCCATCCAAGGTTGTTTGCTGCCTCACGATTAGCATTTTGAGAAAGAAGGAATGCCACTAATGACTCATGGTCATTAGCTGAAGCAATGTGAAGAGCTGTGTTGTTATCGTGGTCAGGTGACTCTATGTCGAGACCTGTTAAATTCACACAAAGTGTCACTTGAAATTCCAGATATTTAAGATCTTAAGGTACAGTAACTGCATACAGTGGACCCCCGGTTAACGATTTTAATCCGTGCAAGAGGGGTAATTGTTATGCGAAATAATCGCTATGTGAATGAATTTTCCCCATAAGAAATAATGGAAATCAAATTAATCCGTGCAAGACACCCAAAAGTATGAAAAAAAAAATTTTACCACATGAAATATACATTTTCCCACACACAAAGAGAAGGATACATGCACAATAGTAGAGTAGTACATGCACAGTATATATTGTGCATGTACTAGTCTACTAAATGAAGAATAAATGACACTTACCTTTATTGAAGATGCAGCAATGACTGATGAGACACTGTGTCCTGGGAGTGCCTTTTCCTCCTGAGTACTGTAGGTCCTGTTTGGCATTTTCTTCCAGAACAGGCCTTATCACACTGTGTATGCCACTACGATTCTTAAATCTCTCAAACCAACCTTTGCTGGCTTTAAATTCACCAATATGAGCACTAGTTCCAGGCATTTTTCCCTGTTCACCTGGGTGTTAGTCGACTTGTGTGGGTTGCATCCTGGGAGACAAGATTAAGGACCCCAATGGAAATAAGTTAGACAGTCTTCGATGACACTGACTTTTTTGGGTTATCCTGGGTGGCAAATCCTCTGGGGTTAATTGTTTCTTGGTATTCTCAATAAGCCACACCAACAACGGTGCTACAGCAGCAGCAGCAGCTGACAGTGCAGCAGCAGCAGCAGCTGACAGTGCAGCAGCAGCAGCAGCTGTACCACCAATAGTAGCGATGGTTGATTGGGGTTTATTATACAACCTGGCCAGCTCGGAGACATGCACTCCACTTTCATACTTATCAATGATCTTTTTCTTCATCTCTATTGTAATTCTCACCCTTATTGCTGTAGGGTTGGCACTAGAAGCTTTCTTGGGGCCCATGGTCACTTATTTTCCAGAAAAAGCACCGAAAACACTGTAATAATACGAAATATTCCGATTGTATGCTTGGATGTTACCGCGGAGGCTGGCTGGTAAACAATGCCACCGGCGGAACATGTGAGCGTGGCTCAGGCCGCACATTGGACGCGTCTCGGACGAAAATCGGTAAGCGGGTTTTTAAGCGGTATGTGAGGCAAAATTTTTGCAATTAAAGTAAGCGGTATGCGAAATAATCGCTATGTGATGCCATCGTTATGCGGGGGTCCACTGTATTAATTAGGACAGTGATAAAATATGGCAATTATCTGGGAAATTAATGCTTATTTCATAAGAGCTATGACTACCCTATGCTTTTAAAAGCATTGCTACATGCTTTAGCATAGAATCAACCAATATTGAACACATTTTGGAAAGTTCTTCATTGTGGTACCAGGTCCAAATAACAGCAGCAATGAGCTTCTCCACAGCTGGACAGTCCTGTTCTACGATCCTGCTTTTAGTTATTGGCCATAGATTCTCAATTAGGTTGAGGCCAGGAGAGTTTTCAGGCCAATTTAGAATGCATACCCTACTCTCTTCAAAGAATGTTCATCAGGAAAGTCTCCATAATAGGAAGCAAATGAGTCACCAGAACTGCCTTGTATTTGTCTTTGTTCAATAACAAGCCTTTAGCAGTAAAACTACCTTAAAACATCATCTTAGGTGGGTGTTTTGGCACTTGTTGAATGTGTCCATTCCAAAGAGATTCACCTTTACTCCGTCTCACTGCCACTAATCTGTACCCATGTACATACTTCAAAATGGGCCTCATCTTAAAATATAACTTTTCTCTATTCAACTGTCGTCCATCCCTTAAAATCGAGTGCCCACTTTAGTTGTTTATTCTTCAAAGCAGCAGTCAATAACTGCTTCTTTACCAGCTTTCTGACAGTTCTGCCAACTTCAAGGAGCCTTCAAACAGCTGAAGAATTAATATTTATGCCAGTTGAAGCCAAAGCTCTCTGTAGATCTTTGCTGGTTTTCTTGGGATCCTTCACACTATTTCTTATGATTACCTTGTCATTGTGAGGTGTTGTCTTGCATTTTCTTCCACATCTTCCTCAACTCAGCACTGCAAAATCACCAGTGTCATCAGCTCTCTTCAGAATCTGACCAACAGTTGACTTTGCTAGGCTCAAATTTTTGGCGATCTGTCTGATACTCAAATCAGGATGTTTTCTAAGAGATATATATTTGTATGCTTCCTAGGTGTAACATCCATCATGAATTTCAGCAGTAATCATGAAATGAAGGGGAGAATTCGGAGAAACCACATTTGCTCATGAAGCACACTTGCAGGAATAGCCTTACAGAACAACAGCTGTTGTAGCACTGATGAGAGTCTCAGGGTAATACGACAGCTGAATGGTTGCCTGAAGTCAGTAGCAAACTCTTATGAAAAGAACAGAACCCAAACTACATTATTTAAGCCAGAGACTAAGATATATTATGAGATAATCATAAAATTTACTCCTGTCCCAATTAACTTTCAAACTACTGTATATTACAATACAATGACATCTTATAAAATAATCAGATAATAAAATACTGAACTAATATATAATACAAAAAACTGAATACAGTAGTAGATGATAGCCAAAAATAAACTATACAAATCAGTGAAGATCCTGAACAGTTAATCTTTATGTGAATTAATTCTATACTGAAGCTATAAACATACCATCGTCAAGGGCAGAAGTAACATATTCAAGGTCTCCCTGTTCTGCTGCTCTATGGAATTCCTGCACTGGGTCAACATCCATTATCATCATGATCCCTGGGAATACTGAAAAGTCACTGAGGCATTCATCAAATTACTATTCATCCTTTTATACATATACATTACAGTGGTACCCTGAGTTTTGAACTGCTTCCAACTCGACCAATTATGGAAGTGTATTATTGTCAGTGCTTTTCTAGGTATATTTTTGGGGTCTGAAATGGACTAATCTAATTTACATTATTCCTTATGGGAAAAAATTCGTTGGGTAACGGCACTTGAACAGTCTTCTGGAACGAAGAAAGTTAGAAATTCGGAGTATCACTGTACATGTATATATGCAATAAGATCACATTAAACAGGTGATATCACAACATGCAGAACAACCACTGTGAAAAAATAGTGAAATTCCAAGAGCTTTCATGGTTTCTCACATAATCAAGTAACAATAAAAATAAAAGATTAACAGGAAGGCATATAAGGATGAGACTACACCTCACTGCCACCCCCAACAGCACCTGACTTTTTATGATAATGTAGGTAGGTAGTCAGTGATCCATGAAACACAGCTGATATTCTACCCAAAAATTTGTCTAATGTATCTTAAATTCTTCCCAAATTTTATTAATTATAAATGAATCCAATTTATATAACCCAAAAGCAATATTCACATAATTTTCAAAACTACTTTTTATGAAACATGGTTCTATTATATTCCTGTCGACCATAGACTTGCCTGATATAACTTTCTCAGCCATTTGAAAATGAACTGGATGGTTAAAATCTCACACATAAATAAACAGAGCATTAGGGGCGCTTTTGGGGGGAATGATAGCTCTAGGCCTTTTGTGCTGCAATCAACACATCAAGAGCTTTGCAATGTTGCAGGGAAGAGGAGGGAGTCCAAGCAAATATGCCCTAGCCTTGGTTGGAAACAGCCGATGTGTTAATAAAAAAAAATAATATATACATACAGCCTCTCCTCACTTAACGATGGAGTTCTGTTCCTAAGACCACGTCAGTAAACGAATTCGTCACTAAGTGAGGAGCATACTATGATGGTAGTGGGTTTATGTCAACCATCTTTGATATTGTTTTAACGTCACCTCTGCACCATTTATAACATTTCTGGTATATTTTTAAATGTTTATACAGTAGTATACTGTATATTGTAATAAACAGAATAGAGGAAATCGGCTATAATATACATTATTTAGGTATGCATACTGGTCAGAGAGTCCATTGTAAGTCCAAGTTGTTGGTAAATGAGTACACTGTTAAGTGAGGAAAAGGTGTATATAGTTACATATACACATATACATGCATACACATGATAAAGGTCACAAAGCAGGGAGTGAGTGACCTAGTTATGACCAGTGAAGAGACGGGGCCAGGAGCTATGACTCGACCCCTGCAACCACAATTAGGTATACCTGGAGTATACCTGGAGAGGGTTTTGGGGGTTGATGCTCCCATGGCCTGGTCTATGACCAGGCCTCATGGTGGATCAGGGCTTGATCAATCAGGCTGTTACTGTTGGCCGCACACAACCCGATGTATGAACCACAGCCCGGTTGGTCAGATACTGACTTTAGATGCCTGTCCAGTGCCTTATTGAAGACAGCCAGGGGTCTATTGGTAATCCCCCTTATGTATGCTGGGAGGCAGTTGAACAGTCTTGGGTCCCTGACACTTATTGTGTTGTCTTTTATCGTGGTGCCCCTGCTTTTCATTGTGGGGATGTTGCATCATCTGCTGAGCCTTTTGCTTCCATAAAGAGTGATTTTCATGTGCAAGTTTGGTACTAATCCTTTGATATACCTTTGAAGAATTTCGAGTGTATATCTACTCTCTGAGCCCGGCCATGGGCCAGGCTCGTCTGGTGCTCGCCTGGTCAACAAGGCTGTTGCTGCTGGAGGCCCGTTGCCCCACATATCCATCACAGCCTGGTTGATCTGGCACCTGGTGAAGATACTTGTCTAGTTTCCTCTTGAAGGCTTCAACACTTGTTCCAGCAGTGTTTCTGATATCTTCTGTTAAGATGCTGAAAAGTCTGGGACCCCGAATGTTGATACAGTGCTCCTTTATTGTCCCCACCGCACCCCTGCTCCTCACTGGGTTTATTTTACACTTCCTCCCATATCTCTCACTCCAATATGTTGTTATGGCAGTGCGCAGATGTGGGACCAAGCCCTCGAGTACCTTCCAGGTATACTTCTAGGATTTTCCAAGTATATATAATCATGAATCTCTCCTGCCTGGGTTCTAGTGAGTACAGGTTGAGGAATTTCAAGTGTTCCCAGTAACTGAGGTGTTTTATCACAGTTATGCATGCTGTGAAGGTTCTCTGTACATTTTCTAGGTCAGCAATTTCACCTGCCTTGAAAGGTGCTGTTAGTGTGCAGCAATATTCTAGCCTAGATAGAATAAGCAACCTGAAGAGTGTCATCATGGGCTTGGCATCCCTAGTTTTGAAGGTTCTCATTATCCATCCTGTCATTTTTCTAGCAAATGCAAGTGATACAATGTTGTGGTCTTTGACAGTGAGATCCTCTGGCATTATCACTCCCAGGTCTTTTACATTAGTTTTTCGCTCTATTGTGTGGTTGGAATTTGTTTTATCCTCTGATACAGTTTTAATTTCCTCACGTTTTTCATATCGGAGCAATTGAAATTTCTCATCATTGAACTTCATATTGTTTTCTGCATCCCTTTTAAAATTTTGGTTGATGTCCACCTGGAGTCTTGCAGTGTCTTCAATGGAGGACACTCATGCAAATTCAGGTGTCATTTGCAAAGGAAGACACAATGCTGTGGCTTACATCTCTGTCTATGTCAGATATGAGGATGAGGAACAGGATGGGAGTGAGTACTGTGCCTTGTGGAACAGACCTTTTCACTGTAGCTGCCTCACACTTTACTCTGTTTACTACTACTATTTGTGTTTTATTTGTTAGGAAATTATAAATCTATCTACCAACTTTTCCTGTTATTCCTTTATCATGCATTTTATGTGCAATTACACCATGGTCACACTTGTCAAAGGCTTTTGCAAAGTCTGTGTATACTACATCTGTGTTTTGTTTGTCTTCTAGAGCATCCAGGACCTTGTCACATAGTAGACCATCAGAATAGATAGTGGTAAGATTCCTGAAAATGGCATGTAATAAGAAGTCGTGGAAACCCAACTGAAGAACACATGGGAAAAATAGGGTTACATTCAAAACTGCAAAAAAGAAACAATAATAATGTAACTGAAGGCTGATGTGGTGATGTGCATTAAAGATCCTGCAACTACATTACTTCTAGCAGACAAAGGTACTTTATTGTTGGGCTGTCCTACTCATTGCAACTGTATGGGGGTTATAAAGGAGGGGTTAAAGAGTTAGGGTAAACAGGTTTGGTATAGGGGTGGGAACTGGGGGACTGCGTTTGTGGGAGGTGAAGACCAAACGGTGGAGGGGTGGGGCAACGAAGTGGTGTAATGATGACCGTGTGGGTGGCAGTGTCTATGGTCTGGAGTGATTGGTGGATGACTGGGTGGGTGAGTATGTGGTTGTTGGTGTGGGCAGTAATGAGGGTGGCAGGTGGTTATATGACAAGGCATGTGGGGCATAAAAGCATGGGTAAGGTGTAGGTGTGAGGTTGTGGAAGTGCAGCCATGTGGCTTTGAAGTCGTAGGGGAACTGTGTGGGTGAAAGGTGTGGCTGCTAACCAGCACAGTGTGGGTTGTAATTGGATGATAGGTGACTGGGTGGGTGGTGATTGGATGATGGGCAACTTGGTACGTGAGTGTGCGGTTGGTGATGTAGGTGGTAATGAGGGTGGTGGGTTATTAAATGATTAGGTATGTGGACAATGTTTTAGAGTAAAAGGCCGAGTAAGGTGTGGGGGTGAGGTTGTGGGGTTGGGCAGGGTGTGGTCTTTAGGAAGGTGGGAAATGGTGAAGGTGTAGACATGTGCCATGGGGGAAATTGTATTGGTGAGTTGTGTAGGCAGAGGTTGCTGGTTGGACTGGTGTGGGTGAAGGCATGAGGCTGTGGGGGAATTATAGGGTGGGTGTTATGGGTGGGGGTTGTGGGCAGTATGGGTAAGGTTTCTGGGTGTGCAGCAAGGGCATGTGGCCACAGAAAGAAGGGGAAGGTTGAATAATCAGTTGGTGACTGGTGTGGGCAGAGGTGTGTGGCTGAGGTATGGTACTGGATGGGTATGAACATAGCATGAGGAATGGTGCTAGATGCTATAAATGTACCATAAGGCATAAATTAGACATGTATGAAAATAAAAAGAGGTATGGTATTAGAGGTGTATGAAGGAAACCCTGAGCCTCGCTGTGTAGCCTCACTGCCAGAAGCTCAAACCTTCACCCATCATACCTGGAGTATACCAGGAGGGTGTTTCAGGAGTCAATGCCTCATGGTCTGGTCCATGACCAGGCCTCGTGGTGGATCAGGACCTGATCAACCAGACTGTTACTGCTGGCTGATGTATGAGCTACAGCCCAATTAATCAGGAAATGACTTTAGGTGCCTGTCCAGCTCCTTCTTGAAGACAGCCAGGGGTCTAATGGTAATCCTACTTATGTATGCCAGGAGGCAGTTGAACAGTATTGAGCCCCTGATACTTATTTTGTTGACTCATAGCATACTCATGGTGCCTCTGCTTTTCATTGTGGTGATGTTATATTGCCTGCCAAGATTTTTGCTTTCACAGGGAGTGATTCGTGTGCAGATTAGGA